GATATATTAGTAACTCTTCCACCTTGGAAACTGAAAGCCTGAGAAATGTATGTGCTAATATGGTTAGAATGATATTTTAGATAGATTTGTCAGGCTGCAGTGTGGGATTTAAGAAATACAAGACTGGATCAGGCAGACAAGCTAGAAGGGAGTTATTGAGATTTTCTAGGCAGGAGATAATGAATATCTGAACTAGAAGGCTGTACACGTGTGAAGCTGTGGTAGGCAGTTAGACAAATATAAGCAGAGCAAGGATGATGGGCTGGGCACCAAAGGTCACAGTAGAAAGCCCCAGATGCTTAGCAAAGGACTATAGGGTGGGACCTCACCCTCAGAGTGACCTTTCCTCCCCTAGCATATGCTGGTCATGTGGTTTGAACCCCTGACCTTTCTCCTCCCTAGAGATAACATATTGCCTCAATTGTATTCCAGCTCCAGGCCCAGAAAAGCAACAAAACCAGACCAGTGACCCCACAGCTGACCTCAGGACCAGCTGGGTTGGATAAGGATCCCCTGGAGAAACCAAGCAATCAGTAGTGATCTAGACCTTGAAAGAAAACACCTAGAAAGTTGCTGAATATTTTATTGAGATCTTTCCCTGGGAACTCCCCTAAAATCTCCATTTTTTAAAACCCTTAAGACAGGGGACCCAGTGGCAGGAGCAGGCCTAGCCTTTCTCATCCCCCTCCCCAGGCCCCCAGGCACAGCACCTTCCTCACTTCTAAACTTCAAGGGACCTTCTTTTACCGCTGTAGCTGTACTTGTTTCCTAAGCCCTTTTCTTCCACAAATTACTTATTATACCTCTGATTTTCCAAATAAATGTTCTCTTATTCTTTGAGTCTTGGCTCTGAATTCTCTCCTAGCCAGAACTCGAATTGCTAAACCAAGATCCTATCTGACCCCAAAGTCTAACACCTGGTGCCATTTCACCACACACAACAAAGCCAAAACAGGAAACATTTCTCTGCACCCTTACTGGAACTGGGTATTATTTTCTAAATCTGCTCATTTGATATTAGAACAATGTTATCTCAGTGTTTGGATTTCAATGTCTTTTTATTACTAATAAAAATAAAATTATCACTTTATTAATTATTTTGTTTACCTACCATTCAATTTTTAAATTTTAATTTTTCTTGCATAAAATACTTTAAATTTAAATGAATAAGAGATTTAAACTACCTAGAATTAACCAACAATGGTAATAGGGACATTTAAACATACAAAAACAAATAGCACCAGTTGAAAGTCAAAGCGATCCTATTTTACTTTAATGAAATGCAATCACTTTGTTCTGACCTTCAGCTTTGATTTACACAAAGTTGCCCGGGGACAAATAACTGACTCAGCATAGACCAAAACATTTGTGTTGTAAAAGAGTCCAAAAGGCTAATTCTAAATAAATTCATCCAGAATACAATCAGTTCCACGGTTCACAAAAATAATGTTTTTTACCTGTACATTCTTTCATTAATTTTTTTAAATATATTTTATTGATTTTATACAGAAAGGAAGGGAGAGAGATAGAGAGTTAGAAACATCGATGAGAGAGAGTCATCGATCAGCCGTCTCTTGCACACCCCCTACTGGGGATATGCCCGCAACCAAGGTACATGCCCTTGACCGGAATCGAACCCGGGACCCTTCAGTCCCCAAGCCGAAGCTCTATCCATTGAGCCAAACCAGTCCCGGCTCTTTCATTAATTTTTAAAAAATTATTTTCAATTACAGTTTACACTCAATATCTATATATAAAAAGCCAGCAACTTGAACACTGTAATGACTGGAATGACCGGTCACCATGACGCCCACTGTGGCCAGTGAACTCGCCTGATTGGGGTTGGGGCAGCTGGCCAACTTCCCATGGCCCCTCCCCCCAGCCAGTCCTGCTCCCAATCAAGGGTGGGGTGGCGAGCCAACCTCCCTCAGCTGGCCCCACCTCTGGTCATTCCCCCATAACGGAATAGGGGGTGGGACTGGCTGGCCAACCTCCTGCAGCCCTTTTCCCTGGCCTGCCTCATTCCCCAGGGGAACCTATCACCTTGATTAGCCCACAGCCCCTCCCCCCAGCCGGCACCCCTGTTAGCTCCCTTACCCAAATAGGGAGTGGGGATGGCCTGACAACCTCATGCAGCCCCTCACCAACCTGTCTCGACCCCAGACTCGCGCTAGGTCCCGCCCCCCCCAAAAGGGGCCGGGCTAGCCAGCCAACCACCCAAGGTCCCTCCACCTGGCTACAGGCCCCCAATCGGCCCCACCTCTCCATTTGAGGGTGTGGCCTGCCGACCCACAGCACCTCTCCCTGGCTGGCCCCATCCCGGATCAGCCCCACCACCCTGATTGGCCCTCAGATGTTATTGCAGTGATGTGCAGAAAAAATTTCTTTCCATAGACCCAAAGTTCTTACATTTCAAACTTAAATTGGAAAGATATATAAATGGCATATAAAAATCACTTTACAAATTATTTTGTCTGGAGTCATTTCTTCTCTTTCATTGCTCTCAAATACTTGTTGGTATGAAAATAATATGCAAGCCCTATGGCATGTAAAAAGAATTGTGCTTTTATCATATCTTAGCCTTCTAAGTTAAAAGTCACACATTCATCAGCAATCATTTTGAATTTTACTTCTTTTTTGTGTAAATAACAAAAATTAAACAGTTCGCTGAAGCTGGTTTGGCTCAGTGCACAGACCGTCGGCCTGCAGACTGAAAGGTCCCAGGTTCGATTCCGGTCAAGGGCATGTACCTTGGTTGCGGGTACATCCCCAGTAGGGGGTGTGCAGGAGGCAGCTGATGGATGTTTCTCTCTCATCGATGTTTCTAGCTCTCTATCCCTCTCCCTTCCTCTCTGTAAAAAAAATCAATAAAATATATTTTTAAAAAATTAAACAGTTCTTCTAAGAGATAGATGGTGCATTCAATGAAATGTTAATTTTCATTCTATGAGTTGTTTTAAAATATGTTGCTTTAAAATGAATCATGAATAGACTTTTGATCAATGCAGAAAAATTCATGCTTAGTTGAGCTTTCCTTAGCACATGTGAGAGTGACATTTGAATAATGGCTGTAATCAATATCTGAAATACCTTTATCCCCAGCATTGCCTTTAACATTTAAGATTGCTTGATAAACTGCAAAAATTGAAAACAAAACAAGAAACAAAATCCAACTTAAGCCTTATCCCAAGCAATGGGAAATTATTGAAGTCACAAAATTTAAGAAATTATAACAATTCTTTAAACTATCACTAATTGTACTGAAAGTGCTAGCCAGAGCAATCACTAATTGTACTGAAAGTGCTAGCCAGAGCAATTAGACCAAAAAAATAAAAAAAAAAAAAAAAAAAAAAAAAAATAAAAGACACCCAAATTGGAAAGGAAGAAGTAAAATTACCTCCTTTTATAGATTATATGATCTTATATGTAGAAAACTCTGAACATTTCACACACAAACATATTTTAACTATGAATGAATTCAGCAAAGTAGCAGGATACAATCTCAACACAAAAATCAGTTGCATTTCTATACACTAACAATGAACAATCTGAAAGTGAAATTTCAAGAACAATTCCATTTCTATCATATAAAAAAGAATAAAATACTTAGAAATTAAGTAAAAAGATGAGAGATTTGTACAATAAAAACTCGAAAACATTGCTGAAAGAAATTAGAGAAGAAAAATACATGGAAATACATTGCATGTTCATGGATTATACTAGCATGTCTATTGTAAAAATGTTAATATTACCCAAAGCAATTTATAGACTCAAACGAATCCCTTTCAAATTCCTAGCAATATTTTTGCAGTTTTAGAAAAACTCATTCTAATTCTATATAATAAAAGCCTAATATGCTAAGTGTCTGGGTGACTGGTCAGCTATTCAACTAATCAAAGGATAATGTGCTAATGATACTCTAAGGCTGCTCAACTTCTATGACATGCACTAACCACTTCGGGGCAGACGCTTTGATCAGTAGGTTAGCTTGCTACTGGGGTTCAGCCACATCCTGGAGCCCTCCCACAGTCCATCCCTAGCTGGCCAACCTCCTGCATCCCTCCCCAGCCCTGATAGTGCACTGGTGAGATCCCTCGACCTGGCCTGCACCCTCTTGCAATCCAGGACTCCTCAGGGGATGTCTGAGAGCTGGTTTCTGCCTAATCGCACAGGGGATCGGGCCAAAGCTATCAATCATATGGACATCCCTGAGGGCTCTTGGAATGCAAGAGGGCACATGCTGAGCTGAGGACCCTCCCCCCATGAGTGCACGAATTTCATGCACCAGGCCTCTAGTATTTATATAAACTCTCAAGATACTCCAAATAGTCAACATACTTTTGAAAAAGAAGAACAAAGCTGCTTGACTCACAGTTTCTGATTTCAAAACTTTTTATAAAGTAGCAGTAATCAAAACAGTTATAAAGACAGACATATTGATCAATGGAAAAGAATAGAGAGCCCAGAAATAAACCCTTTCTAATATGGCCAAATGGTTTTTGACAAGAGTAACAAGACCTTTAATATGAAAAGGACAGTCTTTTCAACAAATGGTGCTGGGAAAACAGAATATTCGCATGGAAAATAACAAAGTTGTACCCTATCTAAACACCATATACAAAACTTAAATAAACTGGACCAAAGACCTAAATTTAAGACTTAAAATAATAAAAATCTTAAAGAAAACGTATGACAAAAGTTTTGTATCATTGGATTTGGTATTGATTTCTTGGATATGACATAAAAGGCAGAGGAAAAAAATAAGTAATAGACACACTGCATTTTATGAAATTTAAAAAAATGTGCATCAAAAGACACTATTAACAGGGTTAAAAGACAACCCACAGAATAGAAAAATATATTTGCAAATCATATATCTGATAAGGGATTAAAATCCAGAACACACAGAGAAGTTCTAAAACAATAAAATAATAAAAAGTCAAACAACCTAATTAAAAAATGGGCAAGGACTTGAATAAACATTTCCCCAAGAAAAATACACATTTTCAACAACTCATGAACTAAAATTGAAGTGATACAAAGAGGATTAGCATGGTCCTGTGTAAGAATGACACACAAATTCATGAAGCAGTCCATATAAGAAAAACAGAAGCCAGTCATAAAGTACAAATAATGAATGATTCCACTTATATGAGGTACCTAGAGTAGTCAAAAATCATAGGCCCTGTCCAGTTGCTCAGTGGCTAGAGTGTTGGCCCTTAGACAAGAGTCTTGGGTTCAATTCCTGGTCAAGGGCATATACCTCAGTTGTAGGTTTGATCCTGGCCCTGGTCGGGGTGTGAGTGGGAGGCAATCAATCAATGTCTCTCTCATGTTGATGTTTCTCTCTCTCCCCTCTGACCTCTATTTCACTCCTACTAAAAATCAATGGAAAAAAATATCCTTGGGTGAGAATTAAAACAAAACAAAACAAAACATGGAAACAGAAAGTAGAATGTTGTTTTCAGGGACTGTGTAGAGAGAGAAATGGGGAATTAATGTTCAGTGGATATTCAATTTCAGTTTTACAAGACGAAAGATTTATAGAGATGGATGGTGGTGATGGTTGCACAATGTTCTGAAGATGTTTAATATCATTGAACTGTGTACATAGAAATATTAAGATAATAAATTTTGTTATGTGTAGTTTTACCACAATAAAAATAATTGAAAGTAAACCCACTTTAAGTAATAACTATTCCTAAAATTTCTCAAAGTTTTTTTTTTTTTTTTTTCCATCCTGAAACCATGTTTTGTTTTTTCCTAGCACCATACTGTCTAATATGGTTGGTATGACCTGAAGAAGTCCTATAGGAATGCTCTTTGCTACTTATCTCATAGAGGGGAAGCATGAAGAACATCTAATACTATTTGCCAAAGTTGGTTCTGGCAACTTGAAATGGATTCTGGTTCCCATTGCTGCAAGAACTAGAATCCTTGGTACCTTATAGATACTGACAGGGTACCAGGATATGCTACCCCCAAATATGACCCTTTGAGCACATAGATTATTTCAATCAAAAGGTTATTGCAAACCAAAAGATGCAGAACAATATAATAAATTTAATTTCTAAGGAGATAAATTAAATGTGGCAAAATAATTGCATCTGAGTAAAAGGTAAATGTAAGATTTTTTTTATACAGTCCTCTAACTTTTCTAGAGATTTAAATTAATTCAAAAAAATAAAAATGTATTACTAAAATTAATAACATTGACAACTTAAAAAAAATTTTAGAAAGCAGATGTAATTTCCATGAAGTGAGCAAGAATGGAAGAAGTCATTAAGCTAGGGATTGTCAGACTTTTTCTGAGCCAAATAGTATTTTAGGCTTTGCAGGCTTTATGATCTGTTGCAATTACTCAACTCTGCTGTTTTAGCTTGAAAGCAGTCATGAACAATATAAAAATAAAGGAATGAGGCTGTTACAATAAAACAGGCAAAGGATTGGATTTTGCCTGGGTGGACTATAGTTTGCCTACCCCTGTACCTATTAGTCTATAGTATGCTTGACACTAAGGATGTTGTCTCCTTATTTGTCTCTGTTTTTCTGGTAGTCCTATCCTATCTTGGCTCATGGCCTTTGTTTCTGAAGGTCTTCCTGCTATAGGTACTGCTTTTCTCTCTTTGTCCCCTCATGCTGGGTAACTATTAAAGTGGTTTTAATGACCTCTTGTAATCTTGATCAAATCACTTGCTACTTCTGTTCATAACCTTTTAGTTATTACCCTTAATTACTAATAATTACACCAGCTGTGACTACTTTGTAAGCTTGCTGTGAAAATCAGAAGAGCTTTAATATTATTTCAAGTGAAGGACCAAATTGACAGAAATTTCCATGAGGCCATAGGAAAGAATTTATTGTGCCATTTTGCTGGGAGCCCTGTTGGAATTTAGTTGTAATCCCTCTAGAGCGAATGATTTAAGAGTTTATTTTCCTTTACAATCTTATTATAAGTCCCTGACAAGAAAGAACTTGATAACATGGTTAAGAAAACAAAACAGAAGTGAAAGAAATTATAGAACATTAACAAATTCTCCCATATGCCTGATAACCTTTATGTTTATTCTCCCTGCCTCAAGATTTATTTGTCATTGATCAATTAGAAGTCATCTTCTTTTTCTCTTAATTGCCATGTTATTTTGACTATAGGTTGAATTATAATAGTTTCTGGGCATATAATTTCTATATTGATTTTCCCAATGGGAATAGTTCTGCCAGCAGGAAAAACATATTAATCCCTGTGTTTGCCTATATGAATCTCCTTTTACTCTACTTCTGTAGACAATTAATGCCCCCTTTTTATGGATATATTCTTTATTTAGCTATATTGTTGCAGAAGACAGGAGAAAACCAAGCAATGCTTAAAGAGGTGGAGTTATACTTTATTATACACTAGTGGACTCAGAGAAAAATGTCTTTCAAATCCTGAGCACAACATGGAGGAAGTTGTCCCTTTTTATGTCTTTTTCAGTCCTTTGTCTCCCAAATATGGGGTTTTCCAGTCTCCTTTGCAAGTTCTTAAAGAGCCCTATGTGTTGGGGCTTTGAGACCTCAACCAAAGGCCTGGCCTGGTGCCAGCACTGATAACTTCTTCTAGGGAATGCTTATGGCCTCTCTAAAATGGGAGTAAACAGCCTTGCAGGACCAGACAATTAAAGAGGCATTGACTAGATTCAGATTGCTAGCCCCCCCCAAGTCTCTTTTACCCCATCAATATTAATATATTATTAATAAAGTATAGTCAAATCTTACAGATTTGGCAGGAAGTCTGTTTTTATGGTGACTGCCAATAAATAAATTATAAATAAGTACATAGTTTAACACTTTAAGGATAATCTTATTTACCCAACAACCCAATTCTCATGAGATCACTCACTGCAACACTCTGTACTGACAATTGTAAATAAATAAGTTGATATTTTCTTATAGCTGCATTTGAGGTTGGTGGCATCAATAGCTATTCTGATTATGTAAGATGGTATTTTAGGAAATCTCTTAAGCATTACTACTCCTTGTAATTTCTTCACTTGAGCTTAGGTATCCTGCTATTGTATTTTTCCCATGTGCTCACGTTTGCGTTATTTCCATTGTGATAAACATCTGCATTCATCTTTATTTTCATTCTCTCCTATCTCAGAAGATAAAATGTCCCTACAACTGCCCAACCTATAACAATCTGGCTTCTGCCTATCCTCTACTTCCTTCACCCCATGAATGAAATTATCTTTACTATAGTTTTGATACCCAGTAAATTCTTTTTAATTTTAATTTTACTGAATCTCTCATTTATTTCTGATTGTTGTACAGGCACTTTTCAAAACTCTATCCTCTGTGATCTTGACATTATTTATTCTGATTCTAATCAAATATGCCTAACCAATTTTGTTATTTTTCCTTCACAGGCTCTTCCTCTTTTGCCTATAAATCTTTAATTTTGATTATTTCAGAGTGTCTTCCTGTCTAAAGGTCCTGCTTTTCTCTCTTTGTCCCTCATGTTGTATAAACATTAAAGTGGTTTTAATTACTTTTGTATGCTGACTTTTAAATCTCTATGTCAACCATTATCTCTCCTGAATTCATACTTTTGAAGACCAACCATGCAAATAATGTAATGTAATCATCACTTATATAACTAACTAGATACCAGTTCTCAAATATTGGTGATGTTTTGGGATTTTACACTATGGAAATAATTATTTTATTGACCAAACTTTAAATTTCTCAACCATTTGTATTAGGCATATTTTTTCATGTTAGAGATAGCTGCCACATAATCTTACTCTTTTGAATATTTTTTATTTCATTAGATATGTGGATTAAAAAGAGAAGAAAATTAGATACTTATTTTTAAATGTGTGAGGAATTAAATAAATATACAACTGTAGGTAGATACGTTACCTCAAGTTTCTCATTTCAATGTCCAGTATTCTTTTATGCATCTCTAGATATAACTATACTACAGATGTTCCTCTTTTAAGATTGAGATTATATCCTAACGAACCCATCAGAAGTTGAGAATATCATACATTAAAAATGTTTTTAATACACCCAACCTGCTAAACATCATAGCTGAGCCTCACTTACCTTAAAGTGCTCAGAACACTTACATTAGCATACAGTTGAGCAGTTACCTTGAGTTTAATCTCACAAGTAATTGCCTTCCTCTTCTCACCAGAAATAAGATATAAAGACAGGCATTTTGTTGACATGATGGCATAAGAAAACACATAATATAATATCCAAAAACTGGCAACACAGTACACTGTAGAGTATTGGTTGTTTACTCTCATGATTGTATGGCTGACTGGGAGCTGTGGCTTTAAACTGCTACCCAGCATGAGAGAGTATCATACTGCATTCTGTTAGCCCAGGAAATGATCAAAATTCAAATTAAAGTTTCTTCTGAATGCATATTGCTTTAGCAGTAATATAAAGTCAAAAAATCCTAAGTCAAACAATTATAAGTCAGGGACTGTCTTCAGTTTTATGTCAAATAAGCCTCTAAGTTAAAATATTTTGTCTGTAACAGAAACCCTAACTCATACTGGTTTAAACAATAAAGAAATTTATTATCCCACATATCAGTAATTCCAGAGGTAGAGTGGACCGCAGGGTTAGTCTCTTTACTGGCACAAAGACTTAATTTTGTTCCATCTTTAAATCTGCTTATGTCCTAGTAGGGGATATTCTATGATTGTCACTGTGATTTATTTTTAGGAATGCCATCAACATAATCATGCACATCTCCAAGTCAGTTGTAACCATTAGGTTCAGACAGCAGCACTCAAAGAAAAAGAGACACAATTTTGCCCTGTGGCTCTTTTGTAAAAATAATAAAATTTCCTCGGAACCAACTTTCCTAATACTATCACGATATATCACCACAAACCTAGTAGCTTATAGCAAACACTCATTTATTACTTCACAGTTCTGTAGGACAGAAGTCCAGGTGGGCTCTACCAATTCCTCTGCTTAAGGCTTCACAAAACTAAAGTCAATGTGAAGGCTGGGCTGGCCTTCTGACTGGGGGACTTGAGAGGAAAATCTACTTCCAAGCTCATTCAGGTTGTTTGCAAAATCCAGTTTTCTGTGGTTGTAAGACTGAGGTCACTGGTTCTTTGTTGGCTCTTAACTGCGTTTGATTTCAGCTCCTAGGCTGACTAGGTTCACCAAGGAGCCCACTTGAATCCTTCTCGATCTTCAAATCTCTCTGACCTTCCTTTCTCCCATCTTTCTCTTTTTAAGGGCTTGTGTGATTAGATTAGGCCTACCCTTTTTTGAAGCCCAACCAAGCAAATAATGTAATGTAATCATCAGGGTGATATCTATCATTTTCATAGGTTTCAGGGGTTAGGATATAACATTTTTTTTTTTTTTTTTTGGAGGGAGATAGCATTTTAGAATTATGCCTAAGATAGCCACAGTTGGGTCACACGCTCTTTCCTGAAAGAATCATTGTCAAGGGGGATGAATTTCCATAACGCTCTCATGAAGTCTTCTGGGATGGAATGACTGGGGGATAAACCACAATATATGTTATGTACTCACATTACAATGCTTCTTTGAGAATTGCCAAATGGGTTGCCATATTCTTTCTTTACTATATATGTTTTTCTTACAAAGAATACTATCTTATTATTAGTACTCTACTTTCCTCCTCATTTTCCATAATGTGTAATACATGTTGACTTGGATATTGGTTAAATATTATTTTGGGGGAAGAAAAAAAAGAGGCTTTTTGAAGAGAAGCCTAGCATTTGAGAACAAAAGGAATCTGTTTTTATTACCCTATCATGGTAAACAATCTTAAAAAGAGACAGCTGAGTAATTTGAGCTAATGGATCAAATTTAGAATTTCTTACAAATGTTTATGTAAAACATTTAGAATTATAACCACGAACAACTCTCTATTAGAAATCACTGCCTATTTAGCATTACCATTGATAAGGTATTTATAGACTCATTAACCTTCAAAGATCTACAGTATTGCTTTAAGAGTTCTTCTCCAGGAATTGTCTAACTGCTCTCTCCTCCTCAGCCCATCTTTTACCTCACTATAGTTTGTTGAAATGTAAGGGCAGTTTGGCTCTACAACATGTCACTACATTAATATCTAGTGTAGCTTGGGACAGTCTAGCTAATAACGTAGATGTCATTTTTTTTCCTCCCCTCCTTATATGTGGCCTTCCAGGGGTATTCCTTTTGCCCAAAATGATTTTATCTAAAGAGAACTTTTCACTCAGTAAGAGTACCTACTAGTAAGTGGAGATTCACCCTATTAGAATCTCTTAAACAAAGACCGACCACAGTTGATTGTACCATCTGGCCAGAGTGTGCACTCTGTAACTAGGCAAGAGTTCTCCGAGAATCCCAGCCAGGGGTTGGGAGATGATCCAGGTAAGGTGCACATTCTGCTTGTTTGGCTGATGTGCTGTCTTATATGCCAAGATATAGCTCAAGAGCTAATACACTTTATGAACTGTAAATAATTTCAGAAAATGAAGTTATAATGAAAACATTGGATAGATATGGTATTTTTGCTGTAAATATGGCATTTTTAGCAAGTAAAAGGTCATTTGGATGCTAAATCAGGTAGATTCTAATCATTTTCTATTGTTTCTAGATACATTTTTTTCATTGTTACATATGAGAAAACTAAGATCCTAATTGTGCATAATTTGCCTAAGGTAACCAATAAAGTAAGAAAAATTTATACTGTTGAATTTTTGGCTTGCCTACTTACCACATTTTAAATATGGATAATGAATGAAATCACCAGACAACTTTATTATGTTACAGAGTTTTATTGTATGTTAGTAATACTAGAGAAATGTTCATTTGATAGATATTAATGTCTAACTTCTATAAGTATTTGATGTATTTCACTGTAGAGAGTGCTATTTTCTTTGGGTTCCCTAAGTTATTCACCCAACACTGGAATTCTGATTACTCTTCATAAATAAGAACATAAAACATGTTATATTGGAAATATTATACTCTCAATAATTTTTATGGTTATATAATAGGTATAACTATTATTTAGGTATAACTATTTATAAAAACAAATTATTTTATTTGTGAATTGATAAAGGGATGAATGACTTTATTAGCATAAAATTGGTGAAATTGTGCCATCTAGTGTCCTTTAACAAAAAAACTGTATTAAAAAATTTTTTTTTTCTGTTCCCCAAATTTTAAATGTTACTGATTAAAAATGAGTCTAGGAAACTATTTTTCCAATTCCTAAGTATGAAAGATAAGCAATATGCCTACAAAATAAAAAAAAATAGGGCACATGTTACTGGAAGAGTGTAACAGAAGAAAATTGTAGCTAATCCCTAGAAATTAGTGTGTTCATTCCAAACATTTGTTTACTATATTTAGTATAACGTTTTCTAGGGAGTGTGTGTATTAATGGGAAGGAGAAATAAGAGAAGTATGAGACCAAAAAACACTAAATAATGAGATTCTTGGTGGCTGGTGATGAAATGAAGAGAAGATCTTCTTTTTCCCTTTCGGAACTGTTATTTCCTGAAATGTTGCAGATCAGTTACAGCTGACAGAATGTTCACCATCACAGAAAACTGTCACTCTGGCTTCTTTTTGCCTGCAGCAGGCACATGGAAGCAGCTACAGCACATGTGTCAAACACAAGGCCCGCGGGCCAAATCCGTCCCGCCAGGCCTTGCAATGTGGCCCGCACCGCGCTGTCATCACTGCACTCCGATGCGTTTCCATCACAATGACAGTTTATGACTGTTCAGTAAACCATTCGGCCCGCGATTTAGGCTGGATTTTAGATTTTGGCCCCTTCTCTGATTGAGTTCGACACCCCTAAGCTACAGCTTTGAGAAGGGCCATGGAAGGCAGGATCTTGAGGACTCTGGCTTCAAGATTGTGGTCCTCTTCCTTACCTTTCCCCTGTCTACCATATTGTCAACCTAGGCCCTATCCTGAGAATTGGGGAAAGTAGAGGTTTTTGTATGTGTGTGCATGCATGTTTTCATAAGAGGAAGAAGAGAGGAGTTGTGAGTTATGTTAGGGTAAATGGAAAATGTGAGGGAGAAGGTAGAGAAAATGAAAAATTATAGTTCAGTGTGCTGGCAGCAGAGATTAATTGACAGAAAGTTTTGAAGTTACTTTTATCTAGGTTTGGTCTTTTGTGACTTTGGCATTACCTGGTTACTTTTGACTACTTAATTTTCATACATTAAAAAAAAGGTGGGCATGGAAGAAAAATCAGATAAATACAGGTAGCTTTTAAAATAGTTAGTTTAAAATAGTTAGTGTGCAGAAACAAAATGATGTAACAAGTATCAATTCCTTTCACCACAAAACTTTAGGAAGAATTTCTGCAACTACCTACCTGTATATTGGGACATATGCAGGTCATTTGTATTAATTATTATGCCTGTTCAATTAGGCTAAAGATCTCTTTTATCTGGTAACCTTCACTTAACTGTTAATCACATATCATTTTGTGATTTGTATTATTTTCTTGAAAATTTTTGTATCTTGAATTGCTACTAATATTTTTAGGACCTGTGTCTACAACTATATATACAGTATATCCATATTTACATAAGTGTAAATGTTTTGCAGACCTCTCATGTTTTATTCATAGCGGGCAATTGATAAGTACTGGTTACCTGGTTTTCTGGATTCAGAGGAATTTTCTTTTATCCCAGTAAAAACATGTTATCAACAAATCTTATATATAGTACATCCATTGAAAGAAAGTATATTTCATAATTCTGAGATTTCACAAACGCTCATGTAACTTAAGGTATTTATTTTATTTTTCATTGTAAAAAAATACAGAACATAAAATTTAATACCTTAAACCAGTCAGTTCAGTAGTTTTAAGTACATCCATATTGTTGTGCAATGGAACTTTCTCATCTTGCCAGAGTGAAACTCTGTATCTATCAAACAGCAACTCCCCATTTCCCCTTCTACCAGTGCCTAGCAACTACCATTCTACTTTCTAAAATTTGACTACTTCAGATGCTTTATATATGTGATATCATACAGTATTTTATCTTTTGTGACTGGATTATTTCACTAAACATAATGTTCTCAAGTTCTATTCATGTTGTAGCATGTGATAGGATTTCATTTTTAAGGTTAAATAATATTTAAGGTAATTTTTAAAAAGTACTTACACTGGCCCAGATGGTGTAACTCAGTGGTTGAACATTGACCCATGAACCAAGAGGCCTCCAGTTGGATTCTTGGTCAGGGTACATGCTCAGGTTGCGGGCTTGATCCCCAGTAGGGTGCATGCAGGAGACAGCTGATCAATGTTTCTCTCACTGATGTTGCCAATTCTCTATCCCTCTCCTTTCCTCTCTCTCTCAAATCATATTAAAAATAATAAAATATTAATGAAAACATTTAAAAAGTACTTAGGCCCTAGCTGGTTTAACTCAGTGGATAGAGCATTGCCTGAGGACTGAAAGGTCCCAGGTTTGATTCCAGTCAAGGGCACATGCCTGGGTTGTGGGCTCAATTCCCAGGGTGCGATGTGCAGGAGGCAGCCGATCATTGATTCTCTCTCATCATTGATGTTTCTATCTCTCTCTCCCTCTCCCTTCCTCTCTGAAATCAACAAAAAGATTTTTTTAAAAAGTACTTAGATTGTAGCCAGCAGACTTATTTAATCAACTATAGGCCCAGTGCATGAAATTCTTGCACGGTAGGGTACCCAAGCCAAGCCAGCACTCAGGGCCAATCGGAGTCTCCTTGCTGCAGGCCAAGGCCTTCCTTTACTCTGCACTGCCCCCTGGTGGTCATCGCACATTATAGCGAGCTGTTGAACTCCTGAGGGGACAACTTGCATATTAGCCTTTTAATATATAGGATGTGAACTATAAATCAATTTAATATGGTCTACATATAAAACAGAAAAAAAACCCCACAGCTACATATATTTAATAAAGTGCTGTACAATGCTGAGGCAAAATTCCAACAATTAAACATCTTTTAAAGCTACAATAAGCTCTTTTGTGATGTTATGTAAGACAGTAGGTTTTAAAACTGTCATGTACCCTGCTTATGTGTCTCTGGATCTAGGGTGGTGAAGGCCTGGGGTTGGGTGTGCGGGCAGGCTGGTGATAGATCCTCCCTTTCTCCAACTGATGGACAGAGAATGACACAAACTCCACCTGCAGCCCGGACATTCCTGAGCACCTAACCAGGCACCTTATATGGACTGTACATTGAACCACCAATCCGCACCTGCCAAATACCCTAAGTCCCCAATTCCTAAGCCCCTAGGCCCCTAATCATGTGCCTTACATGAAACCACCAATCAGCATGTGCTGAATGCCCTAAGCCCCGTCCCTTCCTTTTCCTCCCCTCAAAAGGCGTGTTCACCCCCGCACGTGTGCTCTCTCTCCTTGGAAGGTAGCCTGGCAGGGGTGTTCTCCACCAATAAAGCCCGTGTCCTGGTATCCCAGTCTCCGGCCCCTCTGTTTCATCTTTCCGCTGGAAGGGCTAATGGGGGAAGAAACCTACTGGTTTAGGGGAGCGGACTGCACTTTCTTAATGCCTTTGCTTTGCTTTGTAAACAGCCATGAATCAATGTTGCTTTTGCCTGGCATCTAACAACAGAAGCAGCGTCTAGTTACCTGCACTTGTATTACTTGAGTTAGTTGGTGAGCTTATCCTCTCCTTTCCCCGCTCCCCGTTTCTTGTCACCAGACATCCTGGGTTTATCTAGCAGTTTCTTTCTTTCTTTTTTTCCTTTTTTTAAAAAAAAAATTTAAATTCTTTATTGTTTAAAATATTACATAAGTTTCCTTTTCCCCCATTAACCTCCCTGACCATGCCTTCCCCACCCCCATCCATTGATTATGCTCATAAGCATGCAAACAAGTCCTTTGGTTGATCTCTTACCCCCTCACCCCAACCTCCCCCCCCTCCTCACACACACTTCCCTCATAGGTTGGACAGTCTGTTTGATGCTTCTATATTTGTTCATCAGTTTATGTTGTTCATTATATTCCACATATAATGTGATATGCGGAATATAATGAATGAGTGAGGTCATGTGATATATATCTTCCTCTGACTGGCTTATTTCCTCTCTAGCACAGTTTCCATTACCGATGGGATCAAGTCCGGGGTGCTTCTCTGTGAGTGGAGGGGGCGGGGTTTGTAGTGTCTAGTAGGGGTCGGTGGTGAGCTTGGCAGAACCCAGGCTCTACCTTGCGCTAAGGCTTATCTTTTCATTCACAGTTTTTGCTAGTCCCTTCCATGTTGCCCTAATTCATTTATTGGGGAAATGCATCAGTCAAGTTAGCTCTAACTCTTTTACACTACCTGGTTTTCTAGAGCTTTTCTGAGAATCTGGGACCCACAGCAGTTGACCTAGAGAGCTCAGGGTGGGGCAAGTGGGCGGGCTCAGCGCTGTGCGCATGCTCCCTGGACACTGGGGGGTGGGGGGTTGAGCCTTCAGCCTTCCTCCGGGAACTTCCGGGCGGGGCCAGCGCCGGAAGCACAGGCCTGGAGACTAGGCCTTTAATCTCCCGCCAGGGCAGGGAGGGGAGCCACCGCGTTCAGCTGGTGGACAAGCGATTGTGTGAGATGTGTTAAGTCCGTCAGCTCCCCGCACGTTACCGCAGGGCAGAGATCTCCTCGGGAACCTCCGAACCCCGAGCAGCTGGGGGGGCAGCCTGTGCGGAGGTGCTGCCCGCTCCTCAGGCTGGGAGGCCTTCGCTCCGCTCCACACCTCCTCAGCCGCCCCGTTCCTACCCCCTTCCAGCCGCCCCGCCGCTATGTATGAGCGGGCTCCCCGCGTGCTCAGGTTCGCGGACGGCGGCAGCACCGAGGACCATGTGGGGCCCGGCTCCTACCAGGTGCCGTTCCCGAGGCAGCAGGCCACAGGTAAGGTGTGAGGAGAGGAGGCCTTCCGGAAGGCGCCGCACTGTCCTCCTGCTCCGCGCGGCTGTGCCTGGGAGGCCAGCGTGACCGCACCCCTTCCCAAGTGTCACGAAACACGAAGCAGGCAGGGCAACACCAGCCTTACTTTACAGGCGGGAACTGGTAAAGTCACCTGGCCCAGGTCACAGGGCCAGCCGGCACGTGGCGAGGCCTTCTGACTGCGGGGGCTGCCAGGTGTGCAGGTCAGAGGTGAGATTACGTCATTCTGCCAGGTGTGCAGGTCAGAGGTGAGATTACGTCATTCTGCCAGGTGTGCAGGTCAGAGGTGAGATTACATCATTCTCCCAGGTGTGCAGGTCAGAGGTGAGATTACATCATTCTCCCAGTTGTGCAGGTCAGAGGTGAGATTACGTCATTCTGCCAGGTGTGCAGGTCAGAGGTGAGATTACATCATTCTCCCAGTTGTGCAGGTCAGAAGTGAGATTACGTCCTTCTGCCAGGTGTGCAGGTCAGAGGAGATTACGTCATTCTGCCAGGTGTGCAGGTCAGAGGTGAGATTACATCATTCTCCCAGGTGTGCAGGTCAGAGGTGAGATTACGTCATTCTGCCAGGTGTGCAGGTCAGAGGTGAGATTACGTCATTCTCCCAGGTGTGCAGGTCAGAAGTGAGATTACGTCCTTCTGCCAGGTGTGCAGGTCAGAGGTGAGATTACGTCATTCTGCCAGGTGTGCAGGTCAGAGGTGAGATTACATCATTCTCCCAGGTGTGCAGGTCAGAGGTGAGATTACATCATTCTCCCAGGTGTGCAGGTCAGAGGTGAGATTACGTCATTCTGCCAGGTGTGCAGGTCAGAGGTGAGATTATGTCATTCTCCCAGGTGTGCAGGTCAGAAGTGAGATTACGTCCTTCTGCCAGGTGTGCAGGTCAGAGGTGAGATTATGTCATTCTCCCAGGTGTGCAGGTCAGAGGTGAGGTTGGGGTTGCCTGGCCCCACTGACCGGAGCAGTCTCCAAACGTACTTCCTACCGCCCGTCGTCTTCTCCCATTGTGACCCTGTCTGCTTCGCACACCTGCCCGCCCATTAGCTAGCGATAACATTTATTTACTAACATGTAACTTTTATATTTCTGTTTTTGCAGTATCATTTGAAGATGGTTCCACGTATTTTTTTCAGATAGACGCCTCTTGTATGAACACACCCATGTTCTCTTTGAGCATACTTAGTGAGAGTCCCTCTATTCCCCCATTCTGTGCAAAGCAAAGCTATACTCTTGAGAGATAAAGTGAGGATGGATAATTTAAATAATTATTCATTCTCCTCATTTGTTTGCAGTTAGTGAGTTTAGTAGGGGTTTTTATTAAATTAAATATTTTAATTTGCTTTCTGCTTTTCCTAATCTTCTGATTTTGTGGAGTTTAATACCATTAAAATTAAAGTCTTCCCCCCCCCCCTTTTTAATCTGTATTTTCCCTATTCCTACACTATGTCTGTATTTTTATTTTTTTATGTTTGTGGTTTTAAACAAATGCCAGGATCCATGACTCTGTGGATATGACTGATCAGATTAGTATATTAGGTTAATTTAGGTTTCTCTGGGTGGAGTACAGATTTGTCAATTGTCCTTGCTTTAATATTGAGTTTTAGTAGTTTTCAGCATCTGATTTAAATATCCTTGGAGCTTACCATGTCTGTCTTTAATGCATTTGAGTTAAAAACAATAGCTCCCTAATAATTTACTAGCTACCAATGATTACACTTATGGTTTTATTTTGGCACAACTGACCACTTTGTTTTTATTTTAAATGTTTTAAAATGGATTTTTAAAGAGGGAAGAAGGAAGGGGGAGAGATAGAAACATCAGTCGCTGTCCCTTGCACACCCCTACTGGGGACTGAGCCCACTACTCAAGCATGTGCCCTTACAGGGAGTCAAACTGGTGACTTCTTGGTTCATGGTTAGCACTCAATCACTGAGCCACACCAGTTAGAAACAGTACCTAACACATGCTGAGTCAGGGAATCCTTTTCTATTTCTAACCAACCCTTAAATTTTACATTTTTCTAAACACCTTTTAAGTGTTTATATACTGTACTTTCTATTCTTTGCTTGTTGCTTTTCTCTGTGTACTTTCTCATTTAAACCCATAGCTTTAACCACTATCCACATGCTGATTCTTCCCAAAAGAAAGTCTTTAGAGATATAGGTGATTTATATCTCTAAGGCGAGCTCTCTCCCTATCTTAAGTTCTCCGCATTGCCAGTTTCTGATTTGGACATCTCCACTTGGGTGGTTTCTGGCTATAAAATTCCAAGTGTTTGAACTCATCATTTTCCCCACCATTACTGGCTCCTTTAAAAAAAATTCCCTACCAGTCATTTATAAAATTTACTAGAGGCCTGGTGCACAAATTTGTGCATGGGGGGAGGAGGGGTTTGAGTTCACAAGCTGTCCTTTTATATATATAAAAGGCTAAGTGTCTGTCTGACCTGTTGCTATGACATGCGCTGGCCACCAGGTGGCAGACGCTCAACTCAGGAGCTGCCTCCTGGTAGTCAGTGCACTCCCACAGGGGGAGCACTGCTCAGCCAGAAGCTGGGCTCATGGCTGGCAAGTGCAGTGGCGATGGCGGGAGCCTCTCCTGCCTCCGCTGCAGAAGGGCGGTAAGGAGAGAGAAGTCCCAGACTGTAAGAGGGTGCAGGCTGGGCTGAGGGACACCCCTCCCCCCCCCCCCCAGTGCATGAAATTTTGTGCACTGGGCTTCTAGTTTTAAAATAAATGGCACCATGGACCTGGTGCTGAGAGACTAACACTCGGCTTCTCCCAAGTGGGATACAGGCCTCTCCACCACCCTAGAGCAACACCCCACCAAATCGCAGCCAATGCTTCTAAGACCCCCTGGCGCAAAATATAGCCCACAGCCCAGCCCAGCCCAGAAATGGTCACTGTGGGCACCAGGTAATGTCGTCACACAATAACGCCTGGCTTCCTCCTTCTAGTGACTAGTCTCCTTGGAGTTTCTTCAGCCCAGGAACAGGACTTGCTTTATAGCAAGTGGAAACATTATACACTTTAACCAAATGTCTGTGAAGGCTTTTCCCATGCCTCATCTCATTTGATCCTCACAGAAGTCCTGGAGTAGGTAGATAGGAGACTCAGTAGAATCGTATTTTCTTTTCATTAGCTGGAAAATGGAGATTTAAAAAGTTTAAAAACTTGACCCCACTGAAAAGAAGTAAGAAATGTCGGCATTTGAAATGACTTCAGATTTTCTCACTACACAGAATATAGTCAAACACTGCTACAGTTAAATATTTTACTCTTTTTTCTCCCTGCATGATCTACAAAAATAACCTGCTTTGTATTGCTAACAGTTACCTGAAGGAGAAGTTGGGGTGCTTCACAGGGCTGGAAAAAGTTTAGCTACGTCATAAAGCAGGTCTAAGTAAGCAGGTTTATTCTATATCTATAAAAGGCTAAGTTGACTGGCACATGCACATTACATATAAAACTCTCACTGGCTCAAATTGCACATGTGTTACAATCTGTCATTGTCGACTGTGAATTTGATTGACACTTCTATTATAGAGAAAGGGTGAATAGCAATATTAAAATATTTCTTCTAATTTTTTTTCAATGTGCATGAATCCATGCACCAGGACACTAGTATTATAATAGCTATGTATGGTGCCAGGTGGGTATCGGAAATACCAAGGGGAACACTTTGCAAAGTATATGAGTATCTAACCATTATACTGTACACCTTAAACTAATCCTATATAATAAAAGCCCAGCGACTGAACAGTTGAACAACCAGAACCACCAGTCAACTAGCTGGTAGCTATGAAGCGCACTGACCAAGACCTTGCTGCCTGTGCCCTGACAGCCCAGAATCTGCTTCACCTGCACCCCGGACCCTGACAGGAGGGAGGTGGGAGCCCGATTACTCATGGAATCGGCCACTGGTTAGCTTGCTTCAGGGGCAAACCTCCAGCAGTCCCTCCCCATGACAGTTCCTCCCCGTCCCGATTGGCCCCGATCACCAGCCAGGCTGAGCGACCCCACCCGTGCACGAATTCATGCACCAGGCTTCTAGCACAAAATAATATTAAATGTAAACTATAACTTAATAAAGGGTCAGGTACATTTTATAGAGTATGATGTATGAAGAGCAGCTGTGGGGACTTTATAGTACTTGTTACCTTGAATTACACAAGAGGAGAAGACCTGAGAGCAGTGGTTTTCAACTGGTGTGCCACAAGAGTTTTTAAAACACGCAATACCTTACTTTTTAGTCATGGGCACTGACTTCTCCTTTAGATTGTCAAGGTAAAAAACGTGACAAGTGCCATCACCACAATAGCTGACCTATTTGAGTGACTTAAAATTATAATTATACTCTTTTTCTTGTCAGATTGGCAAAATATATTTTTTGGTGTGTGTAGAATTTTAGTAATTAGTTTATATGTTCCATGAGCTGAAAAAAGGCTGAAAATTGCTGCTTTAGAGTCTTAGAACTTCAAAAGAAAGAAGCAAATACTCTTTGTTTTCAGCATTTCTCTTTCCTAATTACGGCTCTTTTTATTGTGGCCGTCAATCCTGCAATGTATTGTAAGATTTTCCTCAGGAAATTATTTTCACCCTAATTTTCAAACTTCATTGCCTTGGCTTTTGGCCATTTGATCAGGGAGACTTTTCTAGATTTGCAGCCTGAGAGAGGATTTGGCTGTTCTTATTTCAGGAGTGGGAGAGATAATGGATCTTCCAATTCCAGAGTAATGAGAGCTATTTCTGATTTTCTCACAATTATCTGAGAAGCAAGCTTATCTTATCTTATTAAAGCAAAATTTCCCAAGAGACAACTGGCCTGGTAAAATATGTTAAAAACATAATCCCTTTAATAATCTGACTGCTCCTGATATTATTGTGCTCAGAAGTATTTCATTGGTTTTGATTTACATAATAAATCGCACCTCACATTAGCTGTATATTAGTTATCTGTGT